GCTTTTATAAGATGAGGAATCTGGTGTCAACCCTAATGAGTTCACCTTTGCTGCAGCTTTCTCTTGCTGTGCTGGAATTTCTAGAGTTGAATGGGGTGAGCAAATCATGCCCATGTTTTCCATCTGGGTTGGCAGATTCTTTGTCAGTGGCGAATTCCATCATGTCAATGTATTCTAAATGTGGAAGGCTAAGCTCAGTTTCGTTGGCGTTCCACGGAATGAGGAGGAGGGATGTTATTTCATGGAGCACCATCATTGGTGGTTTTTGTCAAGGAGGTTTTGGAGAAGAAGCTTTTGAATATCTCTCGCAGATGAGAAGGAAAGGGCCAAAACCCAATGAGTTTGCTCTTGCAAGTGTGTTGAGCGTGTGTGGAAGTATGGTGATTCTTGAGCAAGGGAGGCAAGTTCATGCTCATGTCCTCTCCATTGGATTGGACCAAATAGCTATGATCCAAAGTGCTCTAATAAACATGTACTCAAAATGTGGGAGTATTAGAGAAGCAGCAAAAATCTTTGATGAGGGAGAAAAGGATGATATTGTGTCATGGACTGCCATGATCAACGGATTTGCTGAACATGGATACAGCAAAGAGGCCATTGATTTGTTCGACAAGATTCCAATGGCTGGTTTGATACCTGACTCTGTAGCTTTTATAGGTGTTTTGACAGCTTGTAGTCATGCTGGACTTGTTGATCTTGGATTCAACTACTTCAATTCAATACTTAGTAAGTACCAGATAAATCCTTCAAAAGAACATTATGGCTGCATGATTGATCTCCTTTGCCGCGCTGGACAATTGAAGGATGCAGAACAAATGATTAACAATATGCCATGCAAAAAGGACGATGTTGTGTGGTCAACTCTTCTTAGAGCATGCAGGTTAGATAGTGATATTGACTGTGGAAGACGTACAGCAGAAAAGATTCTTGAATTAGATCCAAATAGTGCCGGGGCTCACATTACCCTGTCTAACATATATTCTGCTCGAGGAAAGTGGAAGGAAGCAGCAGATGTCAGGAAGATGATGAAATTGAGAGGTTTGATCAAGGAGCCAGGATGGTCCTGGATCAAGATCAAGGATCAGGTTTCCGCATTTGTGGCTGGTGATACTTCTAATCCACAGGGCGAAGAGATATACAGCATCTTGGATTTACTAGCATCGGGGACAGAAATTACAAGCCAGGAATTGGCTCTTCTAAACATTGTTGACCCAGCTTAAAGCAATGTCCCTTTCGTTGTTGCTCAGAGGTGTGCTATCTTCTATCTACTAATGAAGCTATGCTTCTGGAAAGGAGCAGCATCGAAAATTTGTTTTGGTTTCCATGATCAGAATGTGTGAGTTACAGATGAACCTGATTATGAGATTGCACTCAGGAAGAGTGGCAGTGCTGTTCCTGGAAGAGTTAAGAGAAGAAAGTCAGAGAAGCCCATGTTAATTTAAGATCAAGATGAAATCTCCAAATTTGTCAGATTGGTTGGAGATGTAAATTATGGACCATCATGGGCATGATTTCTCTCGTGCATCTTTTGCCTTTGCTTAACATTATTCAATTACTTATTTTTTCCAAATCCTGATATCTTCAAAATCTCAGTCAATAATGTCGGAGTGAGGATTTCCATTCACTTGAGCTGGATATGAGAAAGACAATTCTGTATCAGGGTGTTGATTTCTCAAAG